AAGCTTAAAAATTGCGATGCATTTTCGAACCAAATGAAATTGGCTCGTTCTGTTAGAATTTTCTAGCATAGTGGTAACTAATATCCTGGATTTAAATTCGGTATGTAACTTATTTAGCCCTGGTTGGTTGCCGTTTCAGTTATAAAAATCAGCTTTCAGAGAATTTTGGTTCTCAACTTTGAATGTGAATTTTTTCCTGAATGATTGTGGCCTTAGTATAAGAATTTTAACAAACAATCCTTCTAAAGTCATTATTTTGAGTCGTGCTTTACAAATGTGATATGATCATAAACTTTGACAGGTTCGTGATTAAGATATGTTTGCTCAATCTTTATCACTGCTTTAGTTATATATAATCAGGTTTAATTAATTTTTTGCATCTAAACTTTCACAAATTATTTTAATTCATGTTTTTTTGGACTATTATCAATTCCAACAGTAGCTGCTTGTGATAGCGAGCATATAAATGCACAATTTATCTTCAATCATTCATAGTACCTTTCATATAAGAAATGAAAGTCAACTGCTAAATCTTAATGTGATCTTAATCTGAACCTAATATAACTATTTTACAGTACTTTGCACTAATGCCTCCGTATTTATTTAAATTTAAAAAATATACACAATGGGTTTATTTTTATTATAGGTCTACATTTGCATAAAGCTGTCTGTATCGCTAGACAAGCACGCATTTGTCGTTAGGAGTATCGAAAATAAACTTTATTTTGCTTTAATTACTTTATTAATGCTTTAAGGGAAAATCAGCTCATTAGCTCTATTATTCATAAGTTGTTCATTTGCTGATGGCTTACAGTTTTAAATAATGTAAATATAACTAAATACTTGGATTTTTTTGTTAATAACCTCAACTTTGTTTGGAATCCTCTGTTAATTTACTATTATTTTTATCAGACCTCGTTATTAGACTAAAAATCATGAAAAGAATTGTAAACTGAAATTAAGAATATATCTGTTATAATTTTCTTGTTTGTTGACTCACTACTGAAGTGTTGTCCCAGAAGATTCCTTAAAATTTAAACAAAAATTATTGTATCGAAAAAGTGCTGCAGTCATATCAATCTACATTTTTCACATTGACCATAGTAGAGTAGTGTTTGAAAAGGGTTGTACAAGTAGGAAAAAGCTGATAGCAATCGCCATTACTATTAAAATTTATCTAATTTTGATTTTTCTTTTTCATACACTATATTCCACTAGTGAATGCGTCCTTTTTGCTGCATTGCACTGATCAACTTTCATATCTAAAACTAATAAGTTTAATCAGTCTGTTTTTTTTTCTTTATTGTTCATTTGACGCAGAGGAGGAGGGAAGGTATGGACAAAATTTCATTTCATATCAACAAAGGCTTTGAGTTATAAACTGTTTAATGCTTTCTGCATCTATGCTTTCTCCGTAAATTTGGATATGTTGTCGCTGTGGTAATTTTTTTTGCTCACAATTGTATATAGATGTTTTTTAAAGCACTTATTTGAAATATGTTGGAAGCAGAAAAAAATATTAACTATTTATTATCCCATTTTTTAAATTTAGACTTTTCAAATATTTTTATCTACTTCACAAAATACTCCAATGTTTTACTTTTGCTAAGTGATGCAGACATATATATCGAACTAATAATTACTTCTTGAATCGCAATATGCACCTGTAATTTTTTAAATTCTTTTCTTGAGTAATGCATCGAATCGAAAATGAATATTATAACAAATAAGTAGAAAATTTTTGCTTTTATTCAATCTTTGTAAAAACTATCGAGTAAATTTTTTTAATCATCGCTACCACAATTTAACAACTTCTAAATGGCAAATTTTATCTTTTTTGTAGAAGCCAAACGCTTGCTTGAATTGATGATAATAATAATAATTGTTATTATTGCTGATATTATTAATAATTATTGCTGTAATTTATTTATACCTACGACGTGTTTGGTTTGATTCGACTTAAAAAATAATTTTTTGAACATAATTTTAGTACTCATGAATTTTAAATAATAGTGTTCATTATTATGATCGTTATTTTCAGTCACAATACAAAAAGGACAATAATAATAGCTCATCCTATAAAATCTTGTCGCCATCACTTGGAAATAATTGGTATGGCTATCTTCATGTAATAATTTTAAAATATGGTCCCAAAATTAATGTATTTTAATCCAGCAATTTTTTCACAAAATCATTGGGAAAAGTCATATTAATTTAAATGATAATGAAATGCTTTTATACAATCCGTAGCTCCGTTGTTAATTCTGCTTACTTTACAATAACTCGAATGCATTAAAAATTTTTTATTCAAATTCAGCTGTTTTTTGATTTTTTTAATAATTTTGGAGGTTCTAATTTTTCTAATTTTTAATTTTTAGTTTTTTTTTCTAATTCTAATTTTTCTGGATTTAATTTATTAACCAATACACAAATTTATTTAAATCGATCTTTTGATTTTTGTAATTTATCAATTCTTTTTTCACGCAAATTCTATTAGAAAATTAATTACCACTTTTGAGCAATGTCAGTGATTTTTCATTTGTATTATGTGAATGTTACCCTAGTACTCGCATATTTCGACTAACTGAAATTTTGCAGAAAACAAAATTTTTAAGTCCCATTTTTAGTGAAGATTGGGATAGTCCCAAAATGAACTAAGAACTTTGATTTGAGAATGCAAATAAAGTTAGTTCATTTATTTGTCGGTAAACTTTTTTAACTTATTCTTGAGTTTGTTCAGTATAATCTGTTTTCCTATTTGGATCAGCTCATTACAATTACTTGCTTTTATAAAAGTTTATAGTAGCAGAATTCCAATATAATCCATGAAACAGATTTTTATTTGGTTCTAATATCGTTCGATTGTTCCGTTGATCAAACGATGAGACACTGTTCGCAGAATTACTTTTCCTAATCTGATAATTGAGGTCTTATTTCTTATCATTTCTGCCTGTAAGTTTCTAGTTAATGAAATAAGTCAACTGTAGTACTTTCGTTAGCTTCAAGCTTCCCCTCCCTTTGACCTTATTATTTTCATAATCTTATCCTCTGACTTTTTAAAGGAATTTTCAAAAACCAAAAAAAGAGAACAGTTGAGTTTAAAATGAATTATTTCATAAATGCTAGCACGATGTGTCCGAAATGCATTGGAATCTAACTGAAATATTAAATGTAATATATGTTTTACTTTAAAGTGAGATAATGATATATATATATATATATCATCGGCCTTGCCAAGGTGCTGAGCGGTTCGCTCTGAGGTTGGCTCTGAGCGGCTGTGTTCAACGAACATAAAATGGAGGCTAAAAGGAAAAAGTCCGCATCTGAAACCATAAATGAAAACAATTCGAAAGATGCTATGTGAAGAATGTAAAAGAACATACTGCCAGTGTACTGGAACCCGGTGCCAGCAGAATTATTACGCTTGAAGCAATCGTTTATGGAATCGAAACCTCACGAAGCAAGTGGCCAGGAAACGTGCTGAAAGCGGTTCTTGACCGATTTGGAACAATGCAGAGAGGGGGATGGCTACTGTGTCGTCCTTTGTATAGCGAGAAGTTTTCGTATGCTGTTACCCTCGAAAAACTGAGGAAGCAAGCGAATTCTGTGATCACCAGTGTTGCAGGTCGCCCTTCCTTACAGAAACTTGGGACTCTGCAAGCCATTCTGTACAGGAGGTCGTCACGAATGAGAATACTGAGATCAGAGTCGATATGCGAGTGAGAACTGCAATCAGAATAAAAGCAGATCGACCGGATATCGTTATACACGATAAGAAACGACGTGAAGTATTCCCGCTTCAGGTTGGCATCACTAGTCAGGACAGGTTAACAGCAGTCAAG